CTGTCCTCTCCATATTGATGAGGCATTTGCCCCAGTGATGCCTAGGGAGGCTGGAGTCACCCTGCTGCTGGGTGGGAGTGGGGTCTTATTTTTCCCTTTGTAGATTTACTGTGGAAGATCCAAGAGAAGAAGGAAGCCCTTCATGTCCTGCTCTTTATGCCCACAGTGACAGCATAAGACAATGACCCCCTCTGCAGGAAGATTTAGCAGTGGTTATTTAATCTAGGTACATCCAAAGACAAGACACTGCTATTTGTAAAGGCTGCAAGAGAAGAAAAGTAAAGAAACAGGATACAGCCCCAAACTATGGGGTCTCCACACAAAGTTGTAAAAGTTGTAAATGAAAATGTTCTAACATCTATGATTGTCTGGTAACTTTGAGCAAGAGAAGGGGGTCCCAACCTTGTGCCTCCAAGTACCTTGGCAGGTGAAAGTTCACTTCCTTAATTAGGAGTTCTGTCTCTGTCACACACAACCCACTTTATTTTTTACCTGATGGCCCACAGACAGGCTGAGTTCCCATCAGATAGGCCTTTAGGATTTTGTTTTTGCCTTCCTCAGTAGATTTTGGGGCATGGCAGTCCTGGGAGAAAATGGGGAGATAGTTTAAAAAATAAAAAAATAGGAACAGAGCTTGGACCTGTCTGAAGAGGAATTCCCTGCTGACCTGGCCACTCTGACCTATTGAATGGTCCGAATACAATAAACACAGCTTTATCCTGCCTTAAAAGGGAGGAGATAGCAGAGCCTAAATGCCTGGGCATGCTTCAATAGGCAACTTGGGATGTTTGAGTTGAGTGTGTTTGAAATCTGAGCTCTCTGGCAGCCTGGGAATTGCCACAGGTCACCTGCCTTGCTCCACAGGGATAGGCCCAGGTCTCACCAGAGACTGTCCATAGAAGAATTGTAGTACAAATTCCTTTCTTTGTTGGTTGGCCTCTTTCACTAGACCATGGCCTATAAAATTTTATAAAAACAATCCTTAAATATTATTTGAAAGGGCAAATGGCCCACGCTGAAAGGTTTGACAGTTTGACATATAGTGCGTGGTTTTGATAGCTTGCAAACTGCAAAGTGTGGCCAAGGAGTCTCCCCCTGCTTGTTGAAGCCTGGTGTTGGCGAACTAGTATCTTTTGGCTGTGCAGAGTTCTTTTGCTTCTTGCAATCTGACAGGCAGTGAGTCTGCTTCAGTGATCTTCAATCCTTTTAGACTAATTTGTGAGAGAGCACAAAAGCTAGTACCTTAGAATGCAGCGTCCGAAAGCACCGAGCTAGGTACTGCCAATTAATCATAGCAAGGCAGAATCCTCTGGAGTCCTCTGCTAGCATCAGATCCTATGCCCAGAGATCCACATAGGTGAGGGAGAGAAAGGAATGTGAGTGGCCTGCTCTGCTCTCATCTGAACCTGGCAAGTTGCAGGGAGTGGATTTCTGCATTAGAATGTTGCAGTGTGCACGGAGGCAGCCATGGCTGCCTCTGCATAGCCAAAGGCCATTTTCAGGAGCCTCTGGCCCCTCAGTCACTGGCCTACTAGTTAATTGCCACACGGACTTCATGACACATGGGCAGATAATATGACATTTTCGGTTTCTGTCACTAGCAAACGCCACAACGTTGCTTGCACTAGTTGCTAAGAAGCTGTCAGAAGCCATTAGCAGTTGGCTAAAGTCGCCCTGTGGCATTTCCTCATAGCATCAGCAAAACGAGCATAAATCACCCACTGGAGCCCACTGCTACCCTAATGAGGCCGTAAGCTTGTTTATAGAGGAGCATCATTTTTATGATTATTTCCACCTTTTCAGTTTGCCTTCATTTGGCGGCAGGAGAAGTCAGCACCAGGGATGAAGTCACCGCTGACATTTTACAAATGGGCTTCAGAGCCCCTGCCTGCTGCCGTGTGGTCTGCTGTGGCTCTCCAAGTTTGTGTAGTGATCCTAAAAGTAAAAAAAGGAAATAAGTCCTCCCAAGACCACATCGAAGTGACTGTGTCAAATTGCGGGGTGGATTGAAATGCTAAAGGTACAATTGACCATTTAGACTCTCCTCTGAGGTCGAGACACTGGGAGATCAATTTTCAATTTTAGAAAGTGGAAGAGGTTAAACAATTTATTAAAATCTATGAAAGTGTTTGCTTTTAGAATACTCTGTTTTATTATGCTCTTCTCAGCCCCCATCTTCTCCATTTCCCTAACCGTGTTGGGAAGGAGCAAGGTTTATTGTTTTAGGCGTCCTGAACATGCAGCAGTATTTACACTGGATTGAAAGCATTTGCTTCCAATGAAAATCTTGTCTTAGATTACAACCCAGCAGTGTAATTTCCCTCCCAGATGGGAGTAAAGTAGCTGTATTTGCCTAAAAACAGTAGGAAGAACAAACTGTGCATTAAGCCAGGGCTGTTTTTGGCTTGAGCTAATGATGTAACAGAAACCTTTTATTCAGGAGAGGTCACTGCCAGGGACTGAAGGGGTGATCTGGCTCCTGCCTGAAAGGCTTCTCCATTGTATCTACATAAGTCTTCACTTAAAAAATTCTGGCCCTAATGCTTCTGCTTTCATACAGCAGAAATAAACAGGAAAGGTCCTGGGGAGTGTTACACGTGGAATACAGAAAGCCTCCCTCTGCTAATGGAGTATATAATTCAGGTGCCCTCAAGGCACACTTTCAGGAATTCTTTTGCCTGAGGTAATGGGAAGCTAAGGCTGCTTTAAGGCCTTGATTATCTATTAATGCACAAAGCTGGAAAAAAGTCATCTCCACTGGATTACGGTAGATATTTCCATAAATTATCAATGAATTCTCTCCTAGGCAGGCACTAGACATTGCTTGCTAAATTAATCTGAAGGGGTTTGAGATGGATAAAAAGGCTATTTTTGTGAAGGTGGAAACCTATCATGGAGAGGTGGGGAAAACAGTATTGTTAGGTTAGCTTTTCATTTTTAATCACTGATCGGGTCATATGTTTCTTTTCCTTGGCCACCCTCTACATATTGAAAGTGGATCAGCTATTGCAAATTTGAATGCTGTGGAGTTGTTTTCTTTTCTCATGTTTCTTTAATGAATTGTTATTTTATGTGGTGAATTGCTTCTCTGTATGAGCAGCTTCTTTAAATACTGGACTTTGAAAGAATGTATTAGGCAAACCCAAGGGGATTTCTCATGAAACACTTGGTTATGCAAATAAAGAGCGGGTAGCATTAACTTAGGTGTGTGGGTGTCTGATTCACCAGGGACCCCAACATCAGCATGTCTAGCCATGTGACCTTGAAGCACAGGACTTTCCTCATTAGCTGGATCGGCTGTGATGGCTTTGGAGTTGGGAGGTCTTCGTGATCTTTTCTAGGGAGAACCCATTCTATGAGCTTGGGCAACTTTCACAACTTTCTATACTGTTAAGTGCACTAAAATTATGCATATTTTCAAAATAAAAGTTTACATTACTAAGCTCTGCCAAAACTCATAGTGTAGTATAGCTCTACTAAAAGTCTAAATGTTGGACTCTATCTGCTCCTCACTGATGGAGTTTATCTCAGGACACATTGAGACAATTGAAAAACAAGGTGGGGGGGTAGGGAGGGTCACTTTTCATATGTTACAAGGGTGAGGAGTCGGTTTCCTGAGAGAACAGTTAAGAAAAACTAAAGCTTTATTTGCAATATAACTACTATAGATGACAGAATAAGTGAAAGCAAACTAGAGATTTCATGTTGCACTGAGGACCGGGCGTAGAACCAAGCAATGGAGGAGGTGAAGCTGTGTCAGAAAATCTGATGTGAGCTCCAGTAGGCAGTCATCAGGCAGATTGGATTACCAAAGTGTCAAGCTCTTTGGACCATAGGCTCCCAATGACTTATTTAATGGGATGAGTGTGCCCTGGGGTATAGTCGGAACTGCATGTCTAAGCCTTGCCACTGTAGTTCTGCATTCTGGGCCCAGATCAATCTGTCCATTCTCAAAGTCTATTACCAAAATTCACAGACAGGACAGAGGCTTCAGGTAGCTTCCTGGTAAGATGATGACCTGTCAGGGCACAGAGGCTGATCAGTGTAGTGTGTTTAGTCTGCTGTTGTTTGTCCTTTGACTTTGGTGCAAAGATCAAAAGTAGGTATTTCTATTTTAGATCTTGTGAGTTATTTTGGTTCCTGTGATTATAGGGGTAACACTTTTTTCATGTTGTCAAATATGGCATTATTAAAGGAAGGCTGTATTATCATTTTATTGAGTCACAGAGCTGAAATAATTCTGAAAATAAACAACTCAAGTGTTTATAACTAAACCAGTAGAAAATTAGGATCCATTAGGAATATGTTACCAGGTGACATCTAAGTGTGCAATACTTTAAGAAGAAATTTTAGAAACTGCCCAGATTATTAGTGTAGTGCAATTCTAGCATTGCTTTATTTTATTTCAATAGTAATTATTTTTTAATTAGAAGATGTGTCAGGGGTTTTCCCTTGCTAAACTTGATGCTCTTGCTACATTACGAAAAATTATTTCTCCTTTGAAGCATTCCATGGCAAGTTGTTTATGTGATGGATTGCCTGTATTTCCCATCCTTCGCCAACCAATCTTAAGATAGATCACCTATGGCAGTAGTTGCTGTGTTAAAGGCATCTTCTCACTAGTTGACGTCAGTGACTTTATATGGAGTTCAAATACCCAGACAGAGATCCCCAGGAACTGCCACCACACTGAACTCCCCAGTCGAGGTGTTACATATTTGGAATCATATATGGCAACAGTCCACTCAAGAGATGGCTATTTCCCTCCATTCCTTTTGCATTTAGCCCTGATCTTTGGAAGACGTTTTTTCTTTTTTAGACATGATGATTTTTGAGCTGAGACCTTGTTCTTTCTCTTTGTCTTGGAATAAAATGAAAGTACCGAAGAAACTACTAATCATTTAACTGCTCTTTTGGTTTTGTTTGTTTCCAAAGGCATTCTATTTGAATAAAGTATGTTAAGGTAGCATCAGTCAAAATTTGATTCACTATGTTTGCAGGTGATGGCTTGGACAACAGTGTAGCTTCCCCCAGCACAGGTGACGATGATGACCCTGATAAGGACAAAAAGCGTCACAAAAAGCGTGGCATCTTTCCCAAAGTAGCCACCAATATCATGAGGGCGTGGCTGTTCCAGCATCTAACAGTAAGTGGACTCTAAATGACATATATAAACTAAATATAGACAATGAACCAGTTTTGATAGAGAAAAGTGATCCCCCTGGACTTACTTCATACATCACTGTGTTCCCAGTTTTGAACAAAGGGCTGGCACTTATTCCCTATACCCATACTCTAAATGAGGAGCTTCATTTGAAGTTTGAGATTGTAATTTTGTTAATTTTCATAAGTTATAAGGCTTGGGAATCCACGTGTACTTTCGATTTTAAGTGTGTATGTTAATGATGTGGTTTTCAAAACAAGTCTGAAGAACTTAGAGCTAGTAACTAAGCTTTCTAAGAAGAGAGAAGAACCCATCCCATAGATGGGATCTGTAGTAAGTGTTTTCATGGACCTTTGTAGTGAATGGTCTGAAAAATTGGCAACTCCCTTTTGATGGCAAGATGATCATGTAATTTGCCTTACACTGGCTTGAATGGACCCTTCCATTATGACAGTGCTGTGAGTCAGAGCCCCCAGTGAAAGTTGTCCCTGCCTTTAGAACTGTAAAGGAAAACAGCAATATACAGCCCACTCTTCCTGTGCAATCCCCGGGGACTTTTGAAGCAGAGCAGCAGTTTATATTGTCTGTGTGAGTACTGTTATTTTCACTGCAGGAATTCTGAAGATGTGAGAAACGGGAGACTCAGGGCTTCATGCCAACAGGGGATTTGCTTGGTTTCGTTATTGTTCTGAATGAATTTCATGCTCAAAATATTTATAATCACAATATTTGGGTGGATATTTTGTAAGTATATGTGGATTTAATGATGTCTAAGCAAGAAGCCAAAATGAAAATTTATGGATAAGGTAATATTCTGAAAATTAGTAAAATTGTTGATCTGGCCATTTTCAATGTTGTGGATGAATATGGGCAGGTTAAAATAGAGCTATATATATGAGTGGAGGCTAAACATTTGTGACTTTGGCTTCGATAGCCTCACTATTTTTAAACTTTGGTAACTTTTCTTAATGGCAATTGCCCCTAAAAATGAAAGCCCAGGGCTTGGTGACCCTCACTCCCTTGCCCACTTTTCAAGCCATGTTCCTGATGGATTTTTCTGTTCTAAAGGGACTTATGCAGTAGAATCTGAAGTCAACATTAGCTCTGCTGCTCTGGATAGGGGCTGCGCCTCCAATAATACCCAATAACATAAATTAATCTGTGTTCTTCAGCCCTGGTGAATGGACTCAAGGCTGAGAGCAATAACAACAACTAAAACCAACAGTTTCCCCTTCTGTCTTCCGAGTCTTCCATGGTGCAAACCATGGTCTAGACAGTATTGAGCCTTTTGAGTGAAGTTCATGCGATGATGGTTAGTACTGGAGGTTACTGCTTTCAGACACCACGGTTTTGACATCATATTGGGTTTCCTTTAAATCTGACCCTGGTTTCATTACTTATTTAATATTCACTGCATGTAGGTAAATGTTTTGGATTTGCCTTGTGTAATTCACCAACTGATTAGTATCTACCGCTGTTGAATTGGAAAAGGGAGGACTGTGGTATCCAGGACCTGTGACAAAAGCATCCAGTTAGAGAAGAGGTGACAGTGTGTCAAGGTGCTCGTGCAGGGATGCTTTAAGTGCACCCAGAGAGCCAAGCAGCTGACTGCTCTGCAGTGAGAGTGCAATCAGGATGGCCCTGAACTTACAACCAAACTACTGCCAGCTCCTGTCTTAACAGGAAAAAGAAGTTGATATCGCAGGTCCCGTCAGCCTGAGAAGGAGCTTTGGGGAGACTTGATGCTGAGATGTTCCTGAATAAAATATAATCAAGTATTGGTTCAGATAGAATCAGGAGAGACAAGAACAAGCTATTTTACTCACCTGCCAGTTTTCCCAGGTTGCACTCTGCTATACTTTAACCGAGAGCTATACTGTCTAAAGGATATAAAAATCAAACAGACACCGAATCCTTACTAATGGTGTGATTGTACCTAAACAACAATGCTTATGTGAGCTGTGTGTTACAGGAATTGCAATGGGAATTACAAACTGTGTGGTTTCTGGAGGCCTGGCTAGTTGCCCTCAGTCACTGGCCTGGGTCACTGCCCTGGAAGGGAAGTCCCTCCTCCATGCTTATTGGGCTTTCTATGAATGTCTGTGAAAGTTGCACTGCAGTTTCTGCTGGGGACTTCACACCCTGATCTACTCCGGTGCCATTTATTCAGAGCAATACTGATAATAACCATTTCTAAAAAGCCAGTTGCTCTGGTGACACAGACTGAAAGATAAGCTAGAAGATGTGGGATTTTTTAGCCCCTTTCCTTCTCCATTGAGCACACCACCCCACCCCCCTATAAAGGAAGGACAAATGGATTTCCATTGTCAAGGCATGCCCTTCCCTCTGTTCTGTTACCCTTACAGAAGGAATGTCTGGGAAACGTTAAGTCACAGTCAGGAACAAATTCCAGTAAATTCTATGGAACAAACTGTTGATTTCAAAGAGTTTTCCTACTGAGCCAATGGTAACTTCTAGAGGAGTAGCTCTGTAGGGACATTTCCTTCAGGAGACTGTCACAAATTGTAAACTATTACATTATTTTTATGTGATTAATGTAATTTATCTGAAAACTCCATTTGGAAATCATGTTGTAGGTAAAAGAGCAATCGAAACTCTGGCTAATTAAAAACTGCCAATGACCATTTATTAGCAAAGTGTAAGGGAACTTCCCGTAAATAACAAAAGGCATATTCTAAAACCTGGAACACTTTGCAGAAAGTAAGTTGCAAGGGTCTCCCCCCGACCCCCACCCCTTTCTTTTAAAAGAAATGGACTGATCCTTCTATTGAGTTTCTTCTGTTAAAAAGCTGAAAATGCTTTCAAGCGTTTGCGTGTCAAAGGCTTAGAAAAGGCTTTGCACCTAGCTGCAGGGCAAGGAAACCACCTTGGTATTTAGTTAGCCACAGGTAGATTTAATCAGCAGCCCAGGTAACTAGCCTGGAGAGCTAATGGCTGATTCTTGGGCTAGGGACTCTAGCCATCTAACCTGCACATTCTTGTAGATAGTAAAAACAACAGCAAAGGAGACAAGCCTAAAGCGCTGGTGATTATGGAGTGAGTAGACATTTCAATGCAGTCAATCCCCCCAGCTTAGGCTTTCTGAAATTTGTCAGTGTCACTAAGTAGGGAAAGGCTCTTAAAAGAAATGATTCCCTGTGAGAGAAAAGGATGAGTGACATGATTTAGATAGTTAATAAGAGAGAAGAGGAAAGGAAATAGAAGCATTTATTCATGGAGATGGTTGCACTTGCCTGAAGACAAACTATTACATACAATTTCAAACTACTTAATATCTTCATGAGACAGAATAAGTTTGGGGCTTATATCAGGTCAAGATATTTCCCCTTCTCCTGAGCATCATCCCCACAGTAAACAGCCTACTGTGTCTCGGGATTTCCCCTGATGTGTTTTGCATTCTACATTTTTCTTTTTTTAGTGCATTGTGTCATAGAGATAGTTCAGGAGACTCCTGGAATAAAAAAAAAAAAAAAAGTGCGAAATACAGTGTCAGATTAAAAACCAAGAGTCTTTTTTCTTTTTTTGTTTCCCTACCTGATCATATTGTGTTTTAAAAACATAATCTCGATAGAAAAATGGTTAATGAGAGTCTTATTTAGAATGTGAAAGGACTCTCTTTTCCTGCTTGGAGCCTCTGTGTGTCCCAGGCAGCCTGAAAGTTGGGGTGGGGAAGGGGGTGGAGATCTTCGAGCAATAGATTCAGGTGGAGAAAGCTCTGGAAGGTCAATACTTGGCTTTAACTGGCAGTTAGTCTTCCTGACTCCCAGTCTTTCCACTGATAGCAGAAGCCTTGCAAATATTGTTTCTGAGTGAAAAACACATATTTATGTGTGTCTGTTTCCTTTATTTGTGTGTGTGTGTGTGTGTGTGTGTGTGAGTGAGAGAGAGACATCTAGTCTGGAAAAATACTTTCATATGTGTGTGGCCAATTTCTGATTTCTAAGACTTTCCTCTCATGTGTATATAGCCAGTGTGAGGGCTTGTAGAACCTTCTGGGTTGAGAATGGTGTTTCCATAGAAACACTATTAGATGAAAAGTGCCCTGCGGGTCTGCCACTCTACGCATGGAGCAAATGGAATTGGACTGGGAATTGATTGCTCTAGAAGAGACAGATGTTGTCCATTGGTTCTGATCTCAGTAACAAGATCCTTTGGAGGATCTCAGTGTCAGTCTTGCTAACAGTTCTGGAAGAATCGCTCTCTAAACACTGCAATTAATTACTGCAGTGGGAAAGTTCTAATTGACATCCTTATGGCTCATTCTGTGGACCAAGGTAAGAGAGAGGTCAGCAGGCAGGTCGGTATCCACACAGGGAGCTATTGGTGGCATTTTCTTTCCTCCTCACATTTTTATTTCTTAATGGTGACTATTCTTAGCCAACCTTACCAGCTCTGAAAGAAGTAGGGCAGTTTTTAGAAGGCAGAGAGGCAGGTCATCTGTATTTGTGAAAGCTTGCTTGAGATGTCAGTCAGGGTAATACAAAGTACTGCAGCAAGGTGGTCTAAACCAACCACTTTCATTCTTACCTGGACAAAGGAAGTGGTTTGTAGTTACAGCAGTCAGATGGGATGTGCACTCTTGGGTGTGTGTGTGTGTGTGTGTGTGTGTGTGTGTGTGTGTGTGTGTCTGTCTGTCTGTCTGTCTTTTGTGGTGCTGAGGGTGAAACCCAAGGCCCCACCTTGTGCTAAGCCAGCTCCCTGCTACCGAGTCATATCTGTAACCCAGAATTTTGATTTTCTTTTTACAACTTTCAGCAATCTTCCTGCCTCAGCCTCCCAACTGCTAGGATTACAGATATGAGTCATCATGTGTTATCTGCAGATATTAACTTGTTATACTTATTAAACACTAGCAGGGGTGGGGAGTGAGAGCCTTTCAGATGGTCATGGACTGACTACACTTAAAACAAAGTCTTTTTCAACACATAACAGCATTTTTGTGGTCATTCCTTGCCTCCTTG